TCCCTTTGAGAGCAACTTGAGGGCCGCATCCCCTGGGCCTATAGGTGAACACGTGCTTCCTGTACAAATCCAATGGTGTGTGCAGAAGCCCCACCTCCACCCCTTCCCTCTGCAGCACCCGCCCCCCCACTGGTGTGGTTCTCCCCTTTGGAACTACGAAGAACAGGGTTGTCTCTCTGTGCAGTAAATACATCTCCTTAGAACTTCTCCTGTCTGGGTTAAAAAATGCTGGATACTTTGGGAAACTATGTCCTTCAGGAAATTAACCAAAGAAGAGATAGGCAGGGAATTCCCTGGCAGTCCAGTGGTTAGGACTCCACACTTTCACTGCTGAGGCCGTGGGTTAAATCCCTGGTCAGGGAACTAAGATCCCGCAAGCAGAATGAAAAAAAAAAAAGAGATAGGCAGAATGATTAATAACAAATGCACATGTATGTCTACACACAACTGAGGTCAGCAGTGTGGCAGACTTGAAGTTTTATAGAAAGTGGCATCTGTTTGTTTAGGGAAAAATTGTTAGAAAAGATACGTGCAGTACACCTCAACAGATAGAGGGCATATGATATATAGCTAGCACAGGGATTCTCGATCTTCTGGAAGTATGAGAATCACTTGGGACACCTGTTAAAATGTAGACCACTGGCCCCTCTCAGAACTCAAAGAAGGTTCTTGTGTAGCAAGTTGGGAATGGTGCCCAGGAACCTGCATCTTGACAAGCATCCTGGGTAATTCTGGTGCAGGAAGCCTGTAGACCACCATGTGAGGCCACCTGGGCAGCAGGTGGAGCATGGACTTGAAGCCAGGGCAGAGTCTGCTTCCCAGCTCTCCACTCACTGGCTGTGTGACCTGGAGTAAGTGATTTAAACTTACTAACCTCATCTCCTCTTATGTGTAGGACGGAAAACGTCCGGATCTCATGGCTTTGCTGTGAAGATTAAACCGATGATGTATGTAACCTGTCTCCAACATATTAGGTGCTCAAGAAAGGAGAAACTCTTACTATAAAATAAATAATTCAGGTATTCAGAACAAAGAACTAGTGTGGGTAAACAAAACGAAACAAAACAGCCCACAGAAATGAATTTCATATAGTCCTACATAGCAGCTGAAATTCTAGTCCTGAGTTTCCTGAGCTCAAAGCAGAGAAGGAAACATGCTCGGTTATAAGATTCAGTGACCATAAAATAAAAACAAACCCATTGTTTAAGACACTTTTACCCTAAGAAAGAATTTCCTTATAGGTATATTTCATGAGAGGTGTGTAACATAATGGAAAATGTCCTTGACAACATCCCTACTTTAAATATAAAGACATTCTTCTATGTCTACAGTTGTAGGCACTGGTAAAAGAAAGCTGGCGGCACAGTACCAAAGCACACTTCAGAAAAGGCAATTCAATGAGACACTAAAACACTATATCAAGTGCATAGCCCTCTTATGATTTGATCCAAGGGGAAAAAAAAGAAAATATAGAATAGGAAGGACTCACAATCATCTGAAAATCCTTTGGAAATATACGTCGCCTGAGTTTTTCATTCATTCAATGTTTATCGCGCACCTGCTCTGTGTCGGCGTTTTGCTACGGCAGCCCTGATGATACAGCTGTCTACTACAGGACAGACATATCCCTGCCCTCGTGAGCTTCTATACTAGTTGCAGTGGGAGGAGACGGATAATAAACATATAAGACAATTACACATTGTGAAAGGAGCTGCGAAGCAACGTGTATTGTGACAGAGAAATGGAATAGGAAGAGTCTTATTTTAGACCAGGTAGTGAGGGCAGGCCTTCTCAGAGGGCTTTTTTTTTTTTTTTTTTTTTTTTTTTTTCGGTACGCGGGCCTCTCACTGTTGTGGCCTCTCCCATTGCAGAGTACAGGCTCCGGACGCGCAGGCCCAGTGGCCATGGCTCACGGGCCCAGCCGCTCTGCGGCATGTGGGATCTTCCCAGACAGGGGCACGAACCCGTGTCCCCTGCATCGGCAGGCGGACTCTGAACCACTGTGCCACCAGGGAAGCCCCGATGTGATGTTTTGATATTGTATGCATTGTGAAATGATTATCAGCATCAAGCTAATTAACATTTCCATCACCTCACAGTTATGTGGGCTTTTTTTTTTTTTGGTATGGTGAGAACACTTAAGATTTACATTTGTAGAAAATTTCAAGTATACAATATCATATTAGCTGTAGTCATGATGCTGTACATCTCCAGAATGCATTCTTCTTGCATAATTTCCTGGATATATACCCAGAAGGGGAATTGCTGATCATGTGGTAGTTCATGGTAGATCATGTGGCCCGTGAGCCACAACTACGGAGCCTGCGCGTCTGGAGCCTGTGCTCCGCAACAAGAGAGGCCGCGATAGTGAGAGGTCCGCGCACCACGATGAAGAGTGACCCCCGCTTGCCACAACTAGAGAAAGCCCTCGCACAGAAACGAAGACGCAACACGGCCAAAAATAAATAAATAAATAAATTTAAGACATATGTCAATATTTTAAAAAAAAAATTGGACAATCTCTTAAAAAAAAACAAAAAAAACCCTGGCCCTTCCAACTCAGCATATCCATAAGTGAACTCACTCTTCCCCACAACCTTCTAAACCTGCTATTCTTTCTGTATTCAGAAACTCTCATCTCTTCACTTTTCTCCTTTCCTCTTTCATTCAGCTAACTCATGTTCATATTTTAGTCTTAGCTGAGAAGTAATTTACTCGAGGAGGCCTTCCTTGGCTCCTTATATCAAATTAG